AGGGCTCCCGGCCGCGCGCGCGCAGCCACGCGTCCAGCGCGCCGTCCGCGTACCGCTGCGCCGCCGTCGGCGCGCCGCGCACCACCGCGTGCGACATGCCTNTTTCTTATACTGCGTGCGGTCGTTGCGCGTGCGCACAAAGGAATGAGACCGCTCGGACACCGAGCCCACAGCGTGGTAGGGGTGGGGTTGCCCGCTCTTTTGTTTTTTAATACTACTACGCTGAATATTGTGTGCGGATTGGGTTGTCGTACAGGGGTACTACATGGTAAAATAAATCTCGGAGGCGAAAGCAGGATAATTAATATTCATCCGTATTACTTACACATCGGTGAATATAGCGTCACCTTATTTGACTAGCACATGCGAGATGCAACGTAAAGTAGGTATTTCGTGTCGCCCACTCACTACCTACCGACTTATCAAAATTATTTAATTTTCTTAATATCTACTTCGTACTTATCAACAAAAAGTCCGATGCTCAATGATAACAGGGTTTGATTAGAAAAAAGTAGTTCCCAATTTATCTGAATCTCAAGNACACAGCACGAGGTAACAGTGATGGTGAAGGTACCCCACTGCGGGGTCGTGAGCAACATCACGCGCTCCGTTGGCGTGGGGAACTTCTCGTAGTGCATCCTGTGGACATAACTTTTTTAACCCAGGAACTTGCAAAGTATAAAACTTTGCAAAAGGAGAAGTTCATTGTATGAACTAATCTTGTCTAAAAATAATATGAAACATCATAATATGCCGTCTAAAAAATAATGAAAATTCGAAAAGGATTTGGTTATTAATGAATAATGCAATGTGCAACCGACCAGACGGTGGGCAGCTGCGCCACCAGCGCGCGCTGGTTGTACTGCGCCGCCTTGGGCAGCCCCGTGGAGCCGCTCGTGGGCAGCAGCAGGCTCGCCGCGCCCTCCTCGCTGTCCTCCGCTCTGCGCACGACCACGCGGGTTCTATGAGGCGCTGGATGAGGTCCTTGGCTTGTTGGCGGTGCGCCTTGCCGGTGTGCGTGCGCGGGATGGCGGCCACGAACGCGACGCCCCCGCGCAGCCGCTTGTGGTCGCTCAGCGTCGCTGCGGGCAAGCAGAGCGGGTCAGCGAGGCCTGGCGCGTGCTAGCCGCCTCCCGCGAGGCTCGCGCGTGTACTCACTCTCGACGACGCGGTGGATGGCGCGGCGCGCGTCGGGCTCGCTGGCGCCGGCGCGCAGCACCACGGCGGCCGCGGGCCCGCGCGCGCTGTCGCTCACCACGCACTCCGCCACGCCCGGCAGCTGCCCCACCACGCGCTCCAGCTCCTCGGGCGACACCTGCGTCGGCACCACAGTGACCCTCGCTTCACTTATTACACTCAATTATGTAATGCATTGCAGTAGGTAGGTATACGTGTCCGACTCACCAGCAAGTTCTCGTACTTGAAGCAGAACTTGATGCGGCGGCAGTAGTAGAGACGGCGCGCGCGGTCCTGGCGGAAGGCGTCACCCGTACGGAACCAGCCATCCGCCGTCATGCTCTCCGCCAGCTCTGATTCGTTCTTATAGTAGCCCTGGAGGAGAAAATTATGTTTTAGAGAGAACAGATGAGACGGGGAAATATCCAAAATTGTCGCAAATTATAACCATTCAGGCAAGTCCTGAGAGTGGGCTACTTCTTAGTATAGTAAAGGATGGTCCAATTTGAAGTTCCCATATTGGCAACGCTGTAATAAAATTTTCTTAGGTTTTGGTAATGCCGGGTGTTTCAAATGTCGAATGTTAGTTTGTAACCAGATATTTAAAAATTAATTCATTTTACCATTGCTCGACACGATAAAATTGTTTTACAGAAATAACATTTTGACTATTATGTTGACTATTGCAGGAAGATTATGTTTATGATTTTCAGGCCCGAACTCTAGTGAATTTTATAATTCATAACTTTTCAGAGACGCGATTACCTTAATAAGACTAGGGCCCTTAACGGTAAGTTCTCCTTCTTCATCAGTGGCAGCATCTTCATCGTCGCTTTTGAGGAGCTGCAAAACAATAGCAAGTATTCACTTATTAGTGACTAGCGGCTGCCCGCGACTTCGTACGCTTGGATCCCGTTTTATCCTCTTTATGAAAAATCCCGTCTTGGTGAGCACCTACGTTCTAAATGGAACCCCCAAGCAAAATTTGAAACTCCTAGCACTTATAGTTTCTGAGATTTCCTGATAAGTGAGTGAGTCAGGCAGAGCTTTATATAGTATAAATCTTTGGACAATAAATAAATCTTTGGACAATTTCACACAGCGCCAGCTAGCCCCAAAGTAAGCAACTCAATGCTTGTGTTATGGGTGCTAGCTTAACGGATATACTACTTATATACTTTTCTTTTTTTTTATTAAATACATACATATTGTACATATTTACACCCAGACCCGTCACAGAAATTAAAATTCATCATTTCAATTTCTGCCCGGCCGGGAATCGAACCCAGGACCTCTCGGCATAGTAGTCCGTTCTGAACCACTACACCAAACGGCCGACAAATTATAGTAGAATAGTATAGATTAACCATTCAAAAGCAAAGAAAAAAAATCCTAACCCAACCCAGTCCCTGGATTGGGATGGAATTATACTCATAAGTGTGATGTTAAAGTCATCCAGACCAAGCTGAAGATTACAAATCAAGACATCTCAGTTGATGTCTCAGTACCTATGCGTTAGAAACATTTATCATCATTTCAGCCATAGGACGTCCATTGCTGATCATGTCTCCCCCAATGATTTCCACAAAGGCCGGTTGGTAGTGGCCTGCATCCGGCGCCTTCCTGCTACCTTTATGAGGTCGTCGGTCCACCTTGTGGGTGAACATCGTATGCTGCGCTTTCCAGTACGTGGCCTCTACTCCAGAACCTTGCTGCCCCATCGGCTGTCAGTTCTGCGTACTATGCACCCTGCCCATAGCTATTTCAGCTTGCTAATCCGTTAATCCGTAGAAACAGCTAAACTATTAAAGGTGTCACAAAGGTGAACGCCATACGCGTCACATAACATCAAGTAAGTGCCTCACCCGGTAGTGGAAGATGTTGGCGCAAGGGCCGTTGCAGCCCGGCGCGGCGTCCCGCTCGGCCACGGTGACGAAGCCGTGCACCTCCGTTATGCCGTAGCCGTCGCACATATTGCTGCCCGGAGCCATTTTTTCCTGAAAACGATCAAACCTTCTTTCCCACCACCATTTCAATTCATTTTTGTATGACGCAAATTTCACATTTAAGCTTAATATAGTCTACAGGGTGGAATTTTGTAATGCCACCTGGAGTGAAAGTACTCTTAATACTGTAGATAGAACATTTTACTGAAAGTAAATATCCCTTTATTTTTGAAAAGAAAGAGAACTGCATTCAAAGATTTTCGAAAATTTTTCGAAAATTCACTACCATACCATACAATTTTCTGTACAATTAAAATAATTTAAGATTTGGTTTTCCTTTCATTTGATTTATCAAGTTTGTTAGAGAGATTTCATCCTTATCGAATATCGAATATCGAATCGAACCAACTAAAATCTGTCATTTTTAACAGATTTTAGTTGGTTCGATTCCCGGGTGTGGCTAGCAAATTTTTGGAAATCTTTGAATGCAATTCTATTTCTTTTAAAAAATACGAGGAAAGGAATGTTTTCTTTGAGATTTTTGAGTACTTTCCCTCCAGGTGGCATTACAAAATTCCACTCTGTATAAAAATGCCATTGGGTATTTTTAGGAATAAACATACAGTTTCAGTCGGCAATTATTAATTGTGCTATTTTTCTTATAATATTTTAATTTCAAAGATGAAAGTGTTACATAAAACTTAACTAATTGTTGTTACCTTTAGAAGGGCCATGATGTCGGGCGACAACTGCGAGCCTAGCGTCATCACGGTCTCCAGTGACGAGAAGTGGTCCGGCGTCGCCGCCTTGGCCAGCTTCTTGGCGAACGGCGGCCCGAAGAACGTCCAAGTTGGCTGCCAACATAACACAATCCACTCGTCATGTAACGACCTCAACGACACTAGCAACGCCACCTTCAGAATTATTCATGTCATACCCTGCATCTTTGCATCATGTCGAGTACATTTTCCACGGTAGCCTCTTTTGGAGACATGACCAGTGTGACGTTGTACACACAGCACGTGATAACGGTGATGGTGAAGGTACACCACTGCGGGGTCGTGAGCAACATCACGCGCTCCGTTGGCGTGGGGAACTTCTCGTAGTGCATCCTGTGGACGTGACTTTTTTTAACCAGAAACTTGCAAAGTATAAAACTTTGCAAAAGAAAAAAGAAGTGTGAACTAGTCTAGTCTAAAAATTATGCGAAACATGATATGCGTTTAAAAAAAAATGCAAATTCGAAAAGGATTTGGTTATTAATGAATAATGAATAACAATGTGCAACCGACCAGACGGTGGGCAGCTGCGCCACCAGCGCGCGCTGGTTGTACTGCGCCGCCTTGGGCAGCCCCGTGGAGCCGCTCGTGGGCAGCAGCAGGCTCGCCGCGCCCTCCTCGCTGTCCTCCGCTCTGCACACAACCACGCGGGTGCCACATACGAGACAACGAGAATGGAAGTAAAAGACACAGTAGCTTAGGGCACCAGGATTAGGATATAAAGAAGTTAAGGACCTACTTTTTATTCGAAGCTAATCTTATTTTGGGGCTTCGTGCATTTGAAGAATAATAATCACTGTCAAATTCGTCATTCATTGTACTCTACCGTAATGTTTAGTACGCACTCGAAAGAGTCAAGGTCGTCGGTGTGTCCCTGGATGTAGTCGAGCAGCGCGTCGTCGTGTATGGGCAGCACGTGCGCGGGCGCGGGCGCGTCGGCCGTCGCGACGCGCACCGCCGCCTGCGTCGCCTCGTCGCAGAACACCAGCGCGGGCTCCACGAGCCGCAAGTAGTGCTGCAACTCATCTGGAACAAGAACAGTTTAATATGCAAAACGACACAAACACAAAAAATAACTTGAATACTCAGTGATCTCTGTTAGCACTGACGTGAATCTAGGAAGTTCGTCGACATACATTTAGTGGCACCAGGATCAGTGAGGTACGCGAGCACGCCCGCCAGCAGCAGGCCCAGGAACACCGCCACGGTGCGCTCGTGGTCGCGCGCCACCAGCATCACGGTCTTCCCCTTCAGGCCCTGGGCTCGCAGCTTGCGCGCGAAAGGGATGGCCAGCTCCAGCATCTCGCGGTTCGTGGTCTGCTCGCCGGTGGCGCCGTTGATCTGGCGCAAGAACAGACGGGTAACAGCGAGGTCCCAGCGGCGGCGGCGGGCTCGCGCGGCCGCACTCACCATGCAGACGAAATCGGGCGCCTGGCGCATGCAGTGCAGCAGCAGCTGCGCCGCGGACACGCGCGCGCGCGCCTCGCGGGAGGGCTCCCGGCCGCGCGCGCGCAGCCACGCGTCCAGCGCGCCGTCCGCGTACCGCTGCGCCGCCGTCGGCGCGCCGCGCACCACCGCGTGCGACATGCCTGATGCCTGGGGGATGCTCAGCTCAATTTGTCAAGTACTTAAAGAGGGTGATTTCGGGTTTTCATCAGATCGGATGCGAGTGCAGTGTTTACTTTTTTATTTGGATGGAAAACAAACACTTACTTAAACTACGTAACATAATTATTAGGGGAGAGTTCGGTATATTGTACCGCCGGGTAAATTGTACCACCCTCATATTTCGTAAAGTATTTATTGAATGTTTGTAATTGCAACACTCAGCGATACACAACTAAATTCAATAAATATTGGCCATATGGTTTTTGTCGTGACATAATATAACACGTCTGTTTTATTTTGAAAAGATTTTTTTCATTGTTTTCAAGTAACTTTTGAAAATGTATGTTTAGTTTGTAATTTTGTTAAATTTAATCACACAATGTTTCTAATTTATTAATTAGAAGCATAAATTAGTGTGGATTACAATTATTTGAAACATTTATAAGCTATATTTTTTACCGATTTTTTAAAAGTACTATCACCTAGTCGGTTAAATTGTACCACATCAAGTTGTATGGAATTTTACCAAAGGATTTTGAAAAATTTTTGGTAGATCATTATTTTCAAGATATAATAGCATAGTTATCTTTGACTAACAATAAATGAAAGCAAAAGATTGGCAAAATAGATTAGGTACAACTGTGCGTTACGATAATTCGAATTACAAAACTTGTACTCAAAATCGTGATAACGTGTAAAACAATATCAATTGTCTATGTTATTAACTACTGTTCATTTTCGTTACCTAATTTGTTACGAATGTATCGTATAATATTTTGCCATGGTTTTTTTATAGGCTTGAAATTTATTGAAATCCAATTTAGTAACCCTGTGGTACAAATTATCGAACCGGTTGGCTAAATTGGACCGAAGCTCTGAACTCGTATTTTGTTGATTTGTGCTAAATATACAAAAAACATGTTAATTAATACATATGAAATAGTAAGTTGAATAATTTCTATTTTATTATATACCATGGACATTAGCAAAAACAAAAGAAAACTATGTGTAAAATGGGATTGAAAAAAAACTGGTCCTAATTACCGGACTCTCCCTTATGTAGGGAGTACAATGGTGTTAATAGATAAAACTTGGTAGGATTGTTTCATAATAAATTCTAAAAATGAATATTGAAAAAAATATCCCACACTTAGGGTCGCCACACACGGGCCACTGTCTACTCGCGCGCCCTCTCACTCTATCTCAGACTCAGTGAATCTGAATGGGTTTAAAAATAGCGGCCACCGACCACAAGTGACGACTAGCAGCCACAAGTGGCTATCGCGCGCTTCAGCTACATTTATAGCCGCCTCTAGCTTCTTGCGGCGGCGTTTGTAACTGTGGCGTGAAGCCCGTGTGCGGCCGGCGACCATAAGACTTCAAAATAATTTTATTAAGAGTAATTTAATTAATACAACGTGTTGTTTTTGTATTCAATAAATTACTGCAATTACAATAATTAGTGACCCTGACTGATGCGAAACAGGATGGGGATCGCGNTACGGCTTTATTTATTTTAATATAAAATCTTCCGTAAACTGTAACAAGATAAAAACTGAAAGTGATAACGCGTCAAAACAAATCTACTTCATCAGTGTTACTAATATTTAAGATAAGCGCATTTACGTAAAATGTATGTAACTTTATTTTCTTGATCGTTTTCTCTGCAAGATAATACCTATTATTGTTTTGATTTTGTTGTAAACGATCGTCAATTCGAACGACAGATTGCTTGAAAACTAAATTTAATTTTATTTTAGGGCAGATTTTTCAATTGTCGGGTATTTTTTAACTGTTATAAGTTTGGCAAATTGACAGTTTCAATATGGGAAATATGTCAAAATGACAAGCTTATTCTTCAGTTAAAAGATATCTGACGATTGAAAAATCAGCCCTCAATTAAATTGACGATTTAAAGTTATATGGCATAACTTAAAATTAAAAAATATGACATCATAAGGGTGGTGACCTCAACAATCGCACTTTAGTCACTGCTAATTACTGGATTGATCAATTATTATTTTTAATTCTTTTTTCATGACTTACTTGCGATGTGTTATTGAAACAATATTTCCACAAACAATTTGTGTGAAGCGCGAGCGCCGGCCGACTGGGAGCGCGAGCGCGCCGCGTCGGTCTTATAGCCGGGCCTTATCTACTCGCTGTAATCGGGAAATCATTTTTGTGATACGGATAAAATGACAGAACTGTAATAGGTAATTTGCTTATTATGTTATTACCTACTGCATTTTTATAGTCTATGGTATTCTCGGTAGTGGTAGAGTAACATTGGGGCGCTAGCGCTGCTGTGCTCAAACAAACGCAAAGCTGAAAAAGTAAGTTTATTAGTCATAATAATTGACAGGTCCGAAAAAGAAGTTATAATATTACTAGCTTTCCGCCCGCGGCTTCGCCCGCGTGGATTTTTTTCTGTCACAGAAAAACTTTATCGCGCGCGTCCCTGTTTCAAAAACCGGGATAAAAACTATCCTATGTTCTTTCCCGGGGCTCAAACTATCTCTATGCCAAATTTCATCAAAATCGGTTGCGAGGTTTAAGCGGGAAAGCGTAACAGACAGACAGACAGACAGACAGACAGACAGACAGACAGACAGACAGACAGACAGACAGACAGAGTTACTTTCGCATTTATAATATTAGTTGGGATGGTTCCAACTACGTTATCAAATATTTTAAACCAAACTGAGCAAAGCTAGTAATTTGGTGAGTAATTGTAAAGTAAGATAATTATTATCTAACTAGCTTTCCGCCCNATATGACAGCATAAGGGTGGTGACCTCAACAATCGCACTTTAATCACTGCTAATTACTGGATTGATCAATTATTATTTTTAATTCTTTTTTCATGACTTACTTGCGATGTGTTATTGAAACAATATTTCCACAAACAATTTGTGTGAAGTGCGAGCGCCGGCCGACTGGGAGCGCGAGCGCGCCGCGCCGGCCTTATAGCCGGGCCTTATCTACTCGCTGTAATCGGGAAATCTTTTTTGTGTTATGGCTAAAATAACAGCACTGTAATAGGTAATTTGCATATTATGTTATTACCTACTGCTTTTTTATAGTCTATGGTATTCTCGGTAGTGGTAGAGTAAGGCCCTTTTCACATGTTCCGGTTGCCGGGTAACCGGCGCCGGGTACCCGGTGGTGAAGTGTATGGGCATGCCGGATTAATTACGCCGGAACATGTGAAAGCTACGTACCATGCCCATACACTTCACCACCGGATACCCGGCGCCGGTTAGCCGGCAACCGGGACGTGTGAAAAGGCACTAACATTGGGGCGCTAGCGCTGCTATGCTCAAACAAACGTAAAGCTGAAAAAGCAAGTTTATTAGTCATAATGACAGGTCAGAAAAAGAAGTTATAATTATGGTTCCAACTACGTTATCAAATATTTTAAACCAAACTGAGCAAAGCTAGTAATTTGGTGAGTAATTGTAAAGTAAGATAATTATTATCTAATTTTATGAATGTGTGTGTAACTATCTATCTACATTATGCTAATAATGTGTTATTTTCTCTGTTAAGTACTGTACTCGGTACGACATAATGTTTATATCTGCTTGCTGCTTAATAAAGGAACCGAAAAGGAGATGGAATAAAGACGGTTGTGGGAAGCGGCCGGCATAAGGTAGGAGGCAGGAATAGGAAGGCAGGCGGCCGCAGCGCTCACAGCACAGGCGCGCCTAGCGCCCTAATGAAACGTGTGTTGACCGACAGCATGTAATCCCAATGTAATTGTCTCCGGCACCGCACCGATGGTTTTGTTTCAGTCCTGTGGTAGGTATGTGACATCAACTTGACTTACTACTCGTAACTTTAGACATCAATCTTAATATGGAAGTGAAAGAAAATCCTATTTTATATTGTATTATAGCCATCAAAAGTCATAACTTGTAAAAAAAAAGTCACGTGACACTCACAACTCAGTAATTACTCGATTTAATTCTGTCTGTGATGACACGGAACTAGACTTATCCAGTACCCCTATCAACCAGTTTAAAACAAAATGTAATAATCTTTTTTTTGTTAAATAGTAGTTTGAATCTCATAAATTATTAACATCGTTTTCTGTCCGCGATAAAGTTAATTAATTGTCTAACTATAGGTGTAAACTGGTAATTGGCTTTACTTAAATGTCACTTAACGTAACATTTAAGTTTTCCTATGAAATGTAAAATAAAATACCAAATATTGTGAGATCCATGTAGTAATACAAGGCCATACTATATCTACTACTACATATTATTATGTATATGTCAACGCGAAATTGTAAGCTCCGTCAGTTTACAATATAACGCGTGAGATTGTAAACTAACAGTGGGTTAGGTTAGGTTAGATTGTAATTCAACTACGTCAGATTATAATCTGACGGAATTCACAATATTACGGTGACATATACATACCATATCTCTTAAGTTATTTTATTCTTAAGTATGTTAAAATGATTTATTTTAAATTAAACGATGACTTTTTTTTATACAATAATATTACTCGTATATCACTTTTCTATTACATTATGTATTATGTAATTCGGATCGCAATATTAAGTTGAGATGGACCTGATGCCGGGTCTCCTGCGGAGCACCCAACTCCTCCCTTTCCTTACAGCTACCATATATCGCATCTGGGCTCGATAGTTTTGTCTTGATGAGGGCTCTTACACGTTAGATTAGTTATTTCCGGAGTGTAACCATGCAACTGATAGGGATCTGTAAAATTTTATCAAAGTATGTTCAGTAGATTTTGTGTGAAAGAGAATCATAAATTTTATTCGTGATTATTATAATGTAGTGGGGTGTTTAGCTATATTTTCCAGGAAAAATATACCGACATGAGTCTCGCCCGGGTAGCAATCTAGTTTAACCATTTTCATAACTTAAAATTGTTATTAGGTACCTTCACTTACTTAAAAAACTATAAACAAGGTTAAGCTAACTTGGTTGCGACTTTAAACCTGCTCTGTCCCTAACAGATATTGAAGCAATCAATCAAGTGCCTATATACACACTAGCACACGTGCACAATGCGTAAAGTTAGATGGTCCTGTGTGTTGTCGAGCACTTTGATGACAACTCGTCGATCTCGGTCGCATATCTGATGAGGTAATTTTGATCAAGTTCGTAGGCATTGGCGACCCCTTCAGACTTACCTACCTGTACATATTCCGTTGTTCAGGTCNAATGTTGACCGATATTTGACCAATATTTTGAATACCCGCAGACAGACAGACATTTACATTTAGGTAGGTACTCGTACACACACTTAAAAACTGTTTCACTGTTCACTTAGACACACGAATATCGTCAGCCTAACTTTCAAACTGCTAAGGTATGCCCCTTTTTGCAAACTTTACAGGAGCAAATAACTGTTTATTTTTCATAGTTATGGCACAGAATAATAATAAGTACTGTTATGGTACTAGTTGAAGTAGGTATAATGATGTGTAATTGAAATACAATCATTTATTTCAATTTTGTTTCAGTTTGAAAATATGCTGACGATAATTATAATTATTCTGTATATGATTTATTTTCTTTTTTTAAATTCTGTTTTGAAACACAAAATAAGCATCGCAATTTTTTTCGATCTGCGTAAATTAAAATCGAGTCAACATTCCCGTAGGCAGTTATGTTAGAATTGGCAGCGCTTCGCATCTGTATTCTGAGCGCACTTTGGTATCGGGCAGAAGCGCGGGCGCACGGCGGGAGGCGCGTTGTCTCGCTCTAATGCTCAAGGTCGTTCGGCCATGTAATCGCCTTAATATTCTTTTACCTATATAAAACTAGCGGCCGCCCGCGACATCGTACGCGTGGACCCTGTTTTACCCCCTTAGGGGTGAAGTTTCTAGGTTTTTTTTTATGGTTTTCCCGGAAAATATTCGAACTTTTCTCGCCGTAAAAACCATCCTTGGACTTCAACACATTAAAAAAAAGAATTTGTCCAGGCGTTGTTGAGTTATGCGTTTAGCAACACATTTTGCGATTCATTTTTATTATTATAGTATTAATGAAAATAATAAAGCTTCGTACTGACCCTCAATGCCAACAAATTCTTTATGGTTTTTAATGTTTTTATTCACCCAAATAACCCGGCTTATAGGTAGTCGCATCAAAGATCAGCAGCATTCATCGGCAATATTTGATAGATTCGCGGCCAAATAAAGGGAAAGGTTGCGCCTTTCGTAGCAAAGATAAATAAAGGTAACAAGTGAACAGTAATTGACTTAGAACAAAAAGCCGTTGTCAATAAAAGCTTTCAGTGCTGAATAGAGCCGTCACGATGAACCCCTGGCGGCCAACGGCTGGGCTTCGTCCCGCTCGGCCTACCAGAATTCTCTGGAAAACTCTCATTAAATCATGCACCTTGTTCAGCTAAGATAACAATAATTTTCAGTTTAATTTCACCATGAATTTTGAAGTAAGTGGTATTATTATATTCTATTTAATTTAATTATATTTTTTAAATAGAATTCACGGCTTTGCTTGTCCATAGCAACTTTTTAAATACGAAAGTATTTATTTATTTTATTTTGTTCGGAAAACATCAGTGATACAATACCAGATTAATAACCACTGCTTATGTTATATAAACTACAACAAACGCACTGCTGCCCCAGGTGGGACCCACGACTTTGCTTGCAGGGAACTAAGCTACGGAGTAAATTAGCAACCCTGTCGAAATTTTCAACTGTATGTATTTTAAGCTGTAATAAGCCAACGTGTCAATGGAGGAACACATTTATTTTCTAGACAATAATCGCGTTTAATGTTACATCATTTCGTAGGTATTGCACCTAAATTATGTACCTGCTTTAAATGTCCTTTATTACTAAGAATCTCTTAAGTAACAAGTGAAATTTTTCAACATTTTTTTTCTGATGTCTTGCCCCAAACATCTACAGTAAAACGAATTGTAGTTCCTCGAATGCTAGCTCTTCCATTCATCAATCAACCGCTTGTTGCCTAATTCTCTGTCCCTGTACTTACTTGACGGCAAAGTCAACAATATACGTAACATTGAATTTGGCTTCTTACAATTCGTAAATAATGTAATTAATAGTAACAACTGCCTTCATCTATGAGGCGCTGGATGAGGTC